CGAACTCGACTACGGCGCTGCAAACGTCAAGTCGAGTAGTCATACGCCAGCACAGTCGGCTAAATTGGTGACAGAGCTGCAAAAGCACGAAGGGATAATGATTTAAAGTGGTAATGCCCAGCCGCCTCCGGCGTACGGAGCATTGTGCGACATCGACGTTCAAGGGCACTCACCCATTAAACAGAGAGCTCGGCGGATACCTCTCCGCCACTTGAGCAAGCTTTACGAGTTGTTGAAGGGGCTACTTCGAGCTGGGTTGATATCGTTCTCGAGCAGCCCTTGGGCCTCGCCAGTGGTGATCGTGCTGAAGAAAAATGGTGTGGATATTCGGCTATGCATTGACTATAAACTGGTTAGTGCAGTCACGACGCCGATGGAATCGCTATGGCACTGGTTGATGACCTGCTTACCGAATTGGAAAGTTACTTGTGGTTTTGCTCGCTCGATGCTGCGAGTGGATTCTGGGCAGTCTTGATGACACGCCGAGCTCGGCAGATCTCAGCGTTCGTCTGTGCACTTGGACACTTTGAATGGTTACGAATGCCGTTTGGATTAAAGAATACGCCTATAATTTACCAGCGACTGATCGACAACGCTCTATGGGGATACGTTCAACCCAAGGGAGGATGGCAGCTGTTTGCCGAACGAATGGCTGTTGCTGAAGCCGAGTCGGGAACTCGGCGAGTTGAACTCGGCAGAGTCAGCGATTTGACACAGAGTCAGCTGACGAAGTTTGAAGCTGACCACCGATCACAAGCTGACTGCGATCCGGTCCAGGACCTGGTCAACGGACCGGACGGCGACATGTTTGCTAATGGAGAACCAGACCGGTCTTCCTTGATTCCGGTGTTCAAGTGGAGGTCGTTTGTCGATGATATCTGTTTTGGAGGGGAGACGTTCGACGCCTGCTTGGAAACACTCGACCGATTACTAGCCCGGTTCACAGAATGTCGAATTAGCATCAGCTTTACCAAGAGTATCTTTGTCCAACCCAAGGTTGATTTCCTATCGCACGAGATTACGCCGAGTGGCATACGCGCTGATGAGAAGAAGATAGCCGCGATCGCCGAGCTCGCCTTCCCGAAATTAAAGAAAGGGATGCAAGCGTTCCTCGGTGCCCTGAACTATTACGGCCGATTCATCCAGAACTTGGCTGTTTACGGAGCAGTACTATATCAGCTCAAGGATACGGACTTTGGCCCTGGGGGTGACTTAGCGTCAGCAAAAGCGTCATTCGCCGAGCTCAAAAGACGGGTAGCAGAAGCTCCAATTCTGCGTCATTTCGACTCGGCGAAAGAAGTACATATAATGTTGTACGCCAATGAGTGGGCACTGAGCAGTACATTGATGCAACCGCACGACGACAAGCTGCACCCAGTTCGCTTCTGCGGACGCGTACTAAAGAAGAATGAACTCGGCTATCATCCCGCTGAGAAAGAAGTAGTCGCGCTGTTACAATTGCTGAAAGTGTGCTACACTCTCTTGGCGGGAAAGACGCTACACGTCTACACCCGTTTCTCTACGCTGGAGTGGGTGTCTAAGTCAAAGTCGCTGTACGGCCGCGCAGTCAGTTTCGCAGTTATGTTGTCGCCCTACGATTTGAAGGTGAAGCGAGTACGTGAGCGAGATGTGGACTTCGCCCAGTTGCTCCAGGCGTCGATAACCCCGTTTATCGGACTCGACGATTCCTTGAAGCACCTTGCGCCTCCCTCCAGGAGCTCGGCGACAGCTCGAATGGACCCAGCGCTGCTATACGCCCGAATACCAGCTGACTTTGCGGGATGCGTGCTGTCATTTGATGGCTCAGCGAAGACGGCTAAATACGGCGGGTATGGCCGTTGCTCGTGAATACTGTGGCGCCTTCCGAATTGGGACATTGAGATTGCTGCGAGTGCGTACCTGTCGTCCACCACAGTCAACATCGCCGAGTACACCGGCATGAACAATGGAGTCTTGGCGGCGATTGGCCGAGGAATAACCGATCTGATTATCGTGGGTGACTCCCGGCTTGCAATCCAGCAATCCATGGGGGTGATAGCATGCAAGAAGGAAACATTGCAAGTGGAGTTAGCTCGACACAAGGATCTCACGAAGCAACTCAACTCGGTCCGGTATCGACACATAGCGCGACACTATAACGCAGCGGCTGATTCTCTCGCTACCGAAGCACTTGAGGCTAAAGCTAAACGAGTAATTCTCGGGACGGATAGGAAAGCAGAACTGAGAATGATTAACCGAGTAGCCGAAGAACTGTACGCCACAGACAACCCAGCGGAAACCCCGATTGTCACGGCAGTCACTCGTAGCCGAGTACGCCGAGTTCACTTTGAGGACGAGCTGGATGAAGACTCGGCTAGAGCAAGAGGAGGAAGTCAGGATCACGAAGCCTTGGCAGCAAATCCTAGAGAATCTGCGTTTGAAAGCAGTGGAGATGAATTCGAACAAGTCAGCAGGGCGTCGACTCGGCGGACTAACCACACGACCCCGAATGTCGAAACAGGGTCGCAGATGGAGTCAGCCCAGACAGCTAGGAATGTCAGCGACATTGATCCAGTGACAGTACAGACGGAGCGGAGACGACGAATCGCGAAGGCACAAGATGAAGAACTCAGGTGGGCCGATCTGAAGGCGTACCTGAGAGGTGAGTTTGAGGACCTTACACACCGTCGAGCTCAGAATGCCGGCAAGGTCGCAGAAGTCTTTGTACTCAGCGAAGACGGCCTGTTATATTGCCGAGATGAAGCTCGCCGACTGGGCGAACTCGGCGAACCGAACCTCTCATTGAGATTGGTGATTCCGTCAACTAAGGTCGACGAAATACTTCATAACTGTCATAACTTGATCGAAGGAGGGCATCAAGGCATTGTCAGAACGTATCACCGAGTCAAAGCCGACTACTACTGGATTGGTCTTTACGCCGACGTGGTGAAACATGTTAGGGCCTGCGAGGACTGCAATACCAGTAAGAGCAAGCCACAGTTGAGAGGTTACTCGCCGGGAAATGTGGTGTCAGACCATCCATTCCAAGTCGTGTCAATGGATTTCGTGATTCCCCTTCCTCGAGCTCAGCGGGGCAATACTGCACTGCTGCTGTTCCAGAGCCACTTCACGGGATTCGTTATCGCTAAAGCTATGAATGACACCGGAGCACTCGAAGTGGCCAAGGTATTTGAGGAATGCGTCTTCAGGCAGTTCGGGGCTCCGTCTCTGATACGGCACGACCGAGATCCAAGGTTTATGAGTGAAGTATTCCAAAAGTTCTCCGAGATGATGCAGTCGAGATCAAGAGCTACGCTGAGTTACCGACCACAAGCCAACGGTCAACAAGAGAGGTCAGTCAACACAATGGTTCAGACTATACGGGTCTACGTGGAAGACCCACTTTAAGCCGACTGGGATGACATCGCCGAGAAGATGGTACACGCTATCAACAACTCAAGAGATTCGACTCGGCGAGAAACCTCTTTTTATCTGGTACATGGTTGGGACGCCAAGTCTACACTCAAGGCTATGACGAGTTCAATACGACGTGGACAGGGACGCCCAGTTAGCTCGGCGGACGCAGTAGAGTGGCGCCGAGAAGCGAACAGACAACGAGAAGTGGCACTTCGATTAGCAGCTGAGTTCCAAGTGCGAGAGAAAGCACGACGAGCTCGAGAGCACAACGAAGCGTTGAGCAAGAAGGAGAAAAGATCCATTCCCAACACAGCAGATGACGAAGAGGAAGTTGCAGAACCAGGCGATGAATCCACCAAATCCTTGTTCAAAGAAGGAGATCAAGTCTGGTTGTTTATGGAGCGAGTCAAGTCGGGCCTGACCAAGAAGTTAGCCCACCGATGGCATGGACCATTCAGGGTGAAGAAGAAGGTGGAAGAATTTGCCTTCTCTATGTCTACGTCGCACACTGTCTTTCTCCTGCACGATACAGTGCTATCTCGACGGTGTAAGGTCTTCGTGGAGGCGCATCAAAGGTCTGTTAGAACTAGTTACATTTTTTTCCAGTATCACTTCTGGTTGCGTATCGGTCTCTCCACCGTCTCCCCAGACTGCCGCATATGCCGGTGCCGAGATGTCTTAGCTGCATCTACAGCACACTATTAAATGTGTACCCCGTGCTCGACTAATAATGGACACTTAACCTCGAAAGATCTGGTCGCTGCCGCGCGAAGAAAGATACTAGCTTTAATGTTGCATGTGCGCCTTGGATAAATATTTTTTGGCAGGTTAAAAAACAGAATCATCGCATACTAATTTAGCAAGGTATTATGTCTTCATCTTTGGTGGATGCAACCTACGTGCATAATTTATATAGTAGTAAATATGTGGAAAGGAAGATTTTTATTAGGTATTTTAGCTCAGCACTCAGACGATAAAAACTGTTATGACAGGGTATAAGAAAATGCTGGATTATCACGTCCATCGGTATCGCAGATGGATAAAATCCAGAGAATTCCCTGAGCGCAAACGAATCCCGGTAACTAAGAACTGCGAATCCGCGGGCCCACCAGCCCGCAATCCATAGAGAATCTCTCTCATTCGTCATGCCTTCCAACAACCATAAATGCAAGTACAGTATGACCTTGTTTGAGCATTATTACATTGTCGAACGCAAGAGTGCTATTCATCGTGTTTACGCTCCGGTGAAACTCCCAGCCTGATAACGCCAAGCGCACGCCATACCATCGTCACACAAAGTTTTCTAGGTACTGTTTGACTTTCTGCTCAGCACTAGTACTGTAGCGCTCGAGCTTATTCATCACTAAGCCATTGATTTCGAAGTTTGGATCAATCCGTAGCGAAATGCGGTGGTCAGTACGCTAGTTCGTTTTCTGGTTACATGGAACAAGTCTTTCGTAGTTGTTGCAACGTGGCCTAATCGAAGGCCTAGCACCCCGATGTCACCTATATCTTGATCTTTGGTTCTTGTGTCCTTACAGCAGCAGTGTGCCACAACATTTTTCGACGCTTAGGCGAGAGGTACCCCCCCTAGCCAGACCAAGATGCAAACTAACCTTGCGATTTTCACGGTATTGGCTGGACTACATGTAGCAGCACTTTGTTCCGCCGACGCCAGCCCATCAAGCAATTCCACCCTCGAAGCTTCGACAGGGTTTACCCACGTACGAGCTGGAATTCGCGATGGATCGATACGAAGTCGAGGCGTCAACCTCGGTGGCTGGCTGGTAGCCGAACACTGGATGACAGCAGACGCAGCTTTCTGGCAAGGCGTCAAGGACCATTTTGCGAATTCCGGCGAGTACACAAGTATCTCGAAAGCGTCGAGTCCAGACAACATCCGCACCAAGTTGGGGGAACATCACGCAGCTTTTATTACTGAAGACGACATCGCCCAGATCGCAACGGCAGGACTCAACACTGTTCGAGTGCCGCTCGGTTTCTGGATTCTGGGCTATGACAACTTTGATCCGTCTAGCCAACACGAGTGGCAAGTGTATACACGAGGAACGATCGCGTACTTGGACCAGCTCATCAGATACTGGGCCAAGAAGCACAACGTTGCAGTGCTGCTCAGTTTGCACGCTGCTAAAGGCTCGCAGAATGGAGCCGACCACTCGTCACCTGCCAGCCCAGGACACCCATTGTGGAGTCAATACTCGGAGAACGTGGCTAACACCATTGAGGTGGCACGATTCCTGGCTGATCGGTATCGTGGCGACGAAGCTTTTCTCGGAATTGGGTTGCTCAACGAGCCCAACGGCAGCACGGACGAAAAGGTGTTGTACCAATACTACAAGGACGCGTACCAAGCGGTGCGTTCGACAGGGAGTGACTGCGTGTTGAGCATCATGCCAATGCTGCAGAAACAGAGCCCCGATGAGATGGTGGGCTTCATGGAGGCACCCGAGTTCACGAACGTCTGGGTTGAGTGGCATCCCTACTTCATCTGGGGCTACGAGCACACACCGGATGATCAATTGGTGAATGTTGCCGTCAAACAGGAATACAGGGGGCGCGTGGACAAGTGGAACGCTCGTCCAGGTCACAACCGCTTGTTCATTGGCGAGTGGAGCGTGGCAACTGCGTCCAACATGCGTCGCACCAACGCCGATCTGTTCTACACGTTTGCGATGGAGCAGCTCAAGGTGCACGAAGCAGCGGAAGGAGGCTGGACGCTGTGGTCGTGGAAGGCGTCAGCGGGCAGCAACCGCGACGTGGAGGACTGGTCTCTACAGAAACTCCTCGCCGACGACCGACTCGGTAGGATTCTGCGCAATTACCAGTAGTCGACAAACTTAGGAAGTCGATTTGTTGCATCTCACGTGGCTGCAACAACTTTGGAGCTGAAAGAAACAGAAATGAAAAAGCTACGTCGGACGAGTTGATGCAATTGAAAAGTGTAACTTCCAGTATCTGCGCGGGCAACAGATCGATCACCTTTCTCTTGGCTGATTGGGACACAGCCTTGTCACAGTCTGGCGGACATTGCGTTTGCGGCTGGGGACGTTTTGGGGACCCTCCTCGCCACCCATCCCCGGTTGAAGAAGATTCTCTTGGGTGAACTATCGCAAATACATGTACTGTACTAAAAGCTTTAGAAATTTGTTAAACCAGGATGCCTGAGAGGCGTAATGTGATCCTGGTGATCCAAGCACTGTAAAACTTCTCTGCGTCTCCTTGTCCGGTCCGCTCTTCCCCCGCCCCGGGAGCACCTAGATAAGGTCCTATTTAATACATGTAGTGTGCTCAATGCGCGTCGTTGGCGCTTTCACCGGCCGACACAGCTCCGTCTATTGTGGCGATTGCACAAAAAAGCTCGCAAAAGTTCAAGTTGCCACCTCAGGTTCAAAAACCGGTCAACTGTGTGGTCCTCGTTTGATCGCAACCTTATTTACACATCAAGGGGTGTTTGTACATAATTCAAAACAATAACACATGACATCCCTCCTACCTATCATTTAACATACCCATGCTGGATCCAAGCTTACCTAAGTTTCGACTGACCTCAGCCTCAGTTTCCCCCAAGCCAAGGAACGACCCCCAATTAGATCAAGATGACGCAGCAGTGGCTCGCCAAGGCCGTGCGTCGCAGCGTACGCGCCAGCGTGTCCTCAGCACGCGTGACCCCGTCGCGCCAGAGCGCCCCCACCAACGTGGCGGCCCGTTGGGCGCGTGCCTTCTCCTCCACACCTCACCCGAGTGAGACTTTCATGACGGGCAACAACAATGCTTACGTGGAGGAAATGTACTCGAGCTGGAAGAGTGATCCCAAAAGGTGCGTCGTAACATTTTGCCATTCTCAAACGTTCTGGTGGCAAAAACGACCATCATTCTGTCCATTTTTGCAACGTACTTTGCCACTGACGCTATGCACTTTTGCACAAACGGGTATACAGTGTGCACAAGTCGTGGGACGTATACTTCCGCCAGATCGAGAGCGGCAGCGTTCCCGGCGAGGCCTTCATCCCGCCTCCCACCATCCAGCAGGGCGTGACGCCGGTGCGTTCCGTAGGTGGCGCCGCTGCGTCGTCCACCGAGCAGAACGATGCGCTGGGCCTGAGCTACCTCATCCGCGCCTACCAGGTGCGTGGCCATGAGGCGGCCAACTTGGATCCGCTAGGACTGCAGGAACGCCCAGAGCTGCCGGATCTGGACATTAAGATGTACGGCTTCTCAGAGAAGGACCTGGACCGCGTCATCGCTATCCCTAAGAACTTGTACGAATCGGTTTTCATGGTTTGCCAAAGTGTATACACTTGCGAGAATGATGGTCACTAATGTTTTTCTTTCATTACTTTTCAGCTCGTCGGGCGTGTCTGGCTTTCTGGAGGAACTGGCCGATGGCAGCAGCAGCATGACGCTCGGTCAGATCATCCAGCGTCTTAAGGACACGTACTGCAGCTCTATCGGAGTGGTAAAGTCATGCTGTTGTTGGCCATTCGAAGTGTATACACTTGAGTTTCTGACTTTTATGAGTATCCCTTTTTTTCTTTTAGCAATACATGCACATTCTAAACCGTGAGCAGTGCAACTGGATCCGAGCCAAGATGGAGCACTTGGTGCACGACGAGGAGCCGAAGGAGAAGAAGCTGCACATTCTGGAGCGTCTGGCCTTCTCCGTCGTGTTCGAGCGATTCCTGGGCAACAAGTACAACACGACCAAGCGTTTCGGTCTGGACGGCGCAGAGAGTCTCATTCCTGGCCTCAAGTTCATGATCGACCGCGGTACTGAGCTGGGCATGGAGCACCTGGTGATCGGCATGCCTCACCGTGGCCGTCTCAACGTGCTGTCGAACGTTATCCGAAAGCCGATCCAGCAGATCTTCAAGGAGTTCCAGGGCACGCACATTGATGTGGAGTCGTACAACGAGCCGGACGTGGAGGACTGGTCCAACGCCGGTGATGTCAAGTATCACCTGGGAACGTCGTACGACCGCACGTATCCGGATGGACGTCAGGTGCACTTGTCGCTAGTGGCGAACCCGTCGCACTTGGAGGCCGTGGACCCCGTTGTGGTGGGGAAAGTGCGTGCCAAGCAGTTCTACTTGGGCAACGACGCTGAAGCCGAGAAGAAAGTGGTGCCGCTGCTGCTGCACGGCGATGCGGCCTTCAGCGGCCAAGGTGTGGTCTACGAGACGATGCACCTGTCTGGCCTGGACAACTACGACACTGGCGGCACTGTGCACGTGGTGGTGAACAACCAGATTGGCTTCACGACTGACCCCAAGAACTCGCGCTCGTCTCAGTACTGTACGGATCTGGGTAAGGCCATGGATGTACCCATCTTGCACGTGAACGGTGACGACCCGGGCTCGGTCGTGAAGGTGTTCGAGTTCGCTGCCGAGTGGCGTCAAAAGTGGCGCTCGGATGTGATTATCAACTTGACGTGCTACCGCCGCTTCGGTCACAATGAAGTGGACAATCCGTTCTTCACGCAGCCGCTGATGTACAAGAAGATTGGCCAGATGAAGTCGGTGCTGGACACGTACGTTGACCAACAGGTGGCTGCGGGGACTGCCACGAAGGAAGAGTGCGATGCGATCGTTAAGAAGGTGTGGGATTTCTTCCAGAGGACGTTCGAGGAGACGGAGAAGTGGGAAGACACCAAGAAGAGCGACTGGCTGGCCAACCGCTGGGACTCGTTCAAGAGCCCCAACCAGCAGTCGCGTATTCGCTCCACGGGTGTGCACATGAACGTGCTCAAGCATGTCGGAGAGAAGATCAGTACGGTGACTCCAGGCTTCAAGGTGAACCGCCAGTTGGACCGCATCATGACGGCCAAGAAGAACACGATCGAGACGGGGGAGGGGATCGACTGGGGTACCGCTGAGGCGCTGGCGTGGGGTACGCTGCTGCTCGAGGGTAACCACGTGCGGATCAGTGGCCAGGACGTCGAGCGTGGTACGTTCAGTCACCGTCACGCTGTGCTGCACCACCAGGAGACCAACGAGGAGTACGCGCCGTTGAACCACCTGGCCACCAAGACGATTCCCTCGGCTCCGCTAGAGTACAAGACTCCAGGTGACGATGTCGTCCCGGACACGCAGGCGGAGTTCGTGGCGTCCAACAGCTCGCTGTCGGAGTTCGGTGTGCTGGGCTTTGAGCTTGGCTACTCGCTGGAGAACCCCAACGCTCTGGTCATGTGGGAGGCGCAGTTCGGAGACTTTGCCAACGGAGCGCAGATCATGATCGACCAGTTCCTCAGTGCCGGTGAGGACAAGTGGATGCGTCAGTCTGGACTGGTCATGCTGCTGCCGCACGGCTACGAAGGTCAGGGCGCCGAGCACTCGTCGTGCCGTGTCGAGCGCTACCTGCAGAGCACGGACGACGACCCGAACGTCGTGCCGTTGATGGACGAGGAGAACCGCATGCAGATCCAGCACACGAACTGGCAGGTGGTCTACTGCTCCACTCCGGCGCAGTACTTCCACGTGCTGCGTCGTCAGATCCACCGCGACTTCCGTAAGCCGCTGATCTCCGTGCAGCCCAAGCACTTGCTGCGTCTGCGTCAGGCGTCGTCCAAGCTCGAGGATATGGCTGAGGGCACGCAGTTCCAGCGTCTCATCCCGGAGGTTTCGCCCGAGAAGCTGGTGGACGACGACCAGGTGAAGCGCGTGCTCTTCTGCTCGGGCAAGATCTACTACGAACTGGCTCAGGAACGCGAGGAGAAGGACATCAAGGACGTGGCGATTGTGCGTGTGGAGCAGATCGCGCCCTTCCCGTTCGACAAGGTGGCGGAGCAGGCCGCGCGCTACCCGAACGCCGACATCAAGTGGGTGCAGGAGGAGCCGCTCAACATGGGCTTCTGGACGTACGTGTCGCCGCGCATCGAGACGGCGCTATCGCAGCTCAACAGCGACTCGCGTCGACCCGCGTTCGTCGGCCGCGCCCCCGCTGCCGCCCCCGCTACGGGCTACAACGCCGTGCACCAGATCGAGCAGGACCGCATCCTCAAGAAGGCCTTCAAGTTGTGAGCTGTCAGTGGGCGAGAGGAGAGGGAGAGCAGAGGGAGACGATAGCAAATACACGCAAGCAGCTCGGAGCAAGACTGCAGTGCCGGTAGAAGGACTTGGCGTATTTTGTTTGGCTTTGCTGCTTGTTGACTTGCTGGACATAAAGAGAAAAGAGTAAAACATTCTGAAATGCAGTAAGTAAGAAGTACTACAGTACTTAGTAGGGCAAATACTACTACTTCGAATAGTAGCACTATGCCTCGCTTAGGTAAGTACTGAAGTACTACAGCTTCATGTACTTGTCTCCTTCTACATGTAGTACTACAAGTAGTACTGCTGTAGTATTCCTTATTTCGAAATGCAAGGTAGTAAATAGAAGCAAAACATTACAGATTTATTCTAGGACTTACTACTTAGAAAACCTGTATCCCTTTACTACCAGTACTCTACTACTACTACTGAAGATAGATTGCATTGCCAGAAAAAAAGAGATATTTTTCATAAAGTTATAGGTGTATCGTGGGGCTATCGCTGCCTAGTGCTTCTACTTGAACTTCATTTCCGTGTCCATGATGTGTCCGTTGCCATGAGCCTTAAGACGCTTGACCCCGATGATGAGGCAGACGTTGACGGGGATTAAGAAAATTCCGCAGAGGAACAACATGAGCGCGATCATAGTGATGGATGGCATGAGATCGCCGCAGAGTGAATCGTAGATGACCCAGAAGCCGTTGGCGATGAAAGTGCAGTACATTGCCTCTTCAAAGTCCCCCACGTACTCGATGAGACTCGCGTCGAGGTCGGTCTTGATGCCGTTGATGTCCGAGTTGAGTTTCTTCGTATTTGTCTCAAAGGTGTCGGAAGTGGCAGTGACGTCGCTGACGTCGTTAGCCAGTTGCGCCTTATAGTTTTCCATGCTGTACTTGAGTGTGGCTACAGGGAAGATCACTGCGTAACTTTCCTTCATGAACGTTGAGAACGTGCACGGGTTTGCGTTGGTCGTACACACGTAAGCCTTACCGGTAGCCGGCACGGAGTTGCTAGGGTCATTGTTTGTGCACACACTGTTGTACGTCAGGTAGTAGCTTTCGATGTAATCCGCCTCTGTCCCTGAGCCTGGTTTTGGTTGACTATTGGCCTCCCATGGCTTAAGGATCTTCTGAGTCGTTTGGTACCCGGGGCCAGGAGGATTACAGCTTGTAGAGGTCTGGGTGGCATACGCATTGAACGAAGCCACCAGGGTGGCGTAGGCTGCCTTGTCAAAGCCAAAAGACGCTTCGTCGATGCTGTTGGTGCTTGTTTCCAGGGCGTCCAGGTCAGAAAAGTCGAACATGGAAGTCATATCGAGCTCGGGGAAATCGATACCACCGCGAGCGAAATCCAGTTTGTCGGACAGGTTGAAAACGTCCAGCAGCGAGTCGTTATTGAAACAAGCATCCACAGCTTTCGCCGACTCACCAAGTGGCACCGTCCAGTTGCCTGCGAAGATTTGTGTGACTTCACATGCATCCCCAAGCACTACACCGATCGCGAGGGCAACGGCACTGATGATGAACACGAGGATGAGGACAATGAAGCCGAGGAAATACGCGATGTGCATGATGTTGGCAAGGAATTTCAGAGGTGTGAGACCGAAAAGGATTCCAATGAATCCAATCACGATAACCACCAGGGCAAGGGCAAACAATGCCATGATCGCGTACCCAAGTTGGTCTCGGTAGCCCTGGAACTTGCTGTCGTAGTCGTCCACGTCACCTTGGGTTTTGTCGACCGTCTCAATGAGATCGTTGGCTGTGGTTACCTGCGTATCCACTGCGCTTTGAACACTTCCCGAAATCTCGACCAGTTTCGTATTGAGCTGCTTCTTGACGTTGCTCAATTGCTTCACACCGGGACCGGCATTCTTGTCGACTTGTTGTGCAGCGTCGCTCGCCTTGGTACCGATTGCAGTGCAGGCTTTGCATTCGTAGCAAGGATCGCCATCGGCTTCCTTATTTGTTTTACTAGGGTCAGGAACGCAGTCGGCTGGAAACTTTGGAGCAGTGGAATACTTGTCACCAAGGTCATCGAGCTTTATCGTAATGTCTTTTAGGCCAGTGTCGATGAAACCTGTTCCGTCAAGCTTCACCTTAATATCATCGGCCGACTTGACCACGGTTGCTGCGATTTCTTGGAGGGGGGTGCGAATGTTGACGATCCAAGTGCTTCCGTTCTCCAGCGTCCCCGACGTTGCGTTGAACATGTCATCCACAGCAGAAAGCATCGTGCCTCGGTACAAGAATGCAGCCGCAGACACCACAATGACACCGATGGCAAAGAGCAGGAAGAACAGCAAAGGCAAAAACTTTTGCATGCACGTGTAGCCCTCTTCACGCGGGAAGCGACCGCCACATCGGTTGCAGCAGCAGCGGCAAATCATAAAGAAAACCATCGTCAGTAGACTCAGCACACCCAATACAATGCCCGGAATCACAAAGCCGATGACGCCTGTAGCCCATTCCTTGATCTTGGCTTCGGCCGCTGCGGCGTCCATGGTGCTTTCAGCGTCTGCGTATACTTTAGCTCGACTCGTGTCCCCATCGACAATCTCGGCCCAGTAACAGTTCGGAGCCACCTCACACAGACCCTGACTGTAAGCTTTCTTGGTCTCGTCGTCCGTCAATGGTGTCTCAGACAGCTTTACGGGGTCGCCATTGTCGTATTTGTAGGCTTCATCGGCATCGCAGCTGACAAAGCGAATCTGGTTATCCTTCAGGTCTTGTTCACATAGTGTGATTTTGACTGCAGTGATGAGATCGTGATAGAACTTGTCAGTCCCTCCTCGAAGCTGCTTGATGGCCTTGCGAACAGAAGCTCCGACTTCGTTTGCCTTGTTCGATGCATCGGCTTCGGTCGCTGCCGCATCCAGCCTTCGATAGCTGACGAGAGCACTGCTGTAGGGATATCCTTGCTGCTGGATGAACGATGCCTTATTGAAGCCGCGCAGTTTCGACATCACCGCAAACGACTGCTGCGTCGCCTGCGAGGTGGCTACAACACTTGCAAACAATAGTGCAAGCACTGCTAGGTTACGGGGCGTGCCTGCTAATAGGGTTTGTCGAAAGCCCGTCCCCATCTTTGCCAAAACTTCTAGCTCCTGAAAGCCCTGCGTCGACTGTAGCAAAACGTTTTGCCTGGTCGAGCTACCGAACGTACCAGCGAGAAAAGGAGAATGACGGGACCTGCAAGTCTCAAGTTGAAACCCACAATGGCAAGACTGCGATGCAGCGGAAAACTGATTTCCGACAGCTTTAGCTGATGTGCCAAGGATTTATTTAGATGGACCGGCATGAGATGAAGGAGCCGCATGCACCAATGTGAGATATAGCCCTTGTTTGAGGCCTTCCATTGGGCATTGCGAATAGCGTGGTGAGATGAAGCGGGTCAGACTTTTGAAAGCAAAACTTTTTTTTTCTCGAAATAGTGCTGCTGGACTCCTGTTTTCGCTCTTATCAAGAACAAGCTTAAATAATACTTATATCGAAGTATATCGTACAATGTACTACTATATTAATACATGTTTTAATATCAACTGCTATCATAAAAATGAGCGTTTTTGTTTTTATAAATTTCAGAAAGAAGCATGAGCTGCGTGCTGCGTTTGGCGCTGGCGCTGACCACTCGAATCCGAAGAGGTGATCGTGAAGGAGCTACCACTGGTCGATGGAAACTTGGTCGCTTTGAGCTTCTCGTCCCGTAGCACGTCACGCAGTGACCACATGTTGTCGCCGGACTCGTCCTCGTAGATGCGCCAGGCTGACAACATCAGTTCGCCGATGAAGATGCGATTCTTTGTGGCCCCAAATAAAGCACGGGTGTCACTCAACCCACTCGTTTGCGTTTGCAGGGGCCAGCATAAAGTAGGTGAGCACATCGAGAGACTGTTCATACAAGAGAGCGGTGCCACGACCAGCACGCACTCACTACCCGCTGCTCGGATTGCGCTGTATGCACGTTCGTTTAGTAGTCATACAAAACGTTCTCCGTTCGATTCGTTTTAGAGCCCAAAACCGAGGAACGCGTCTTCGTCTTTATATCTATAGGACAACATCGTAATGGTATTGTCGACATTTTTGTCGAAACTCGGCCCAAAATTCGGATCCGAATTGTCGGCTCCGCTCTGCGGACCATTGGGCCAAAGCTTCGGCTGCGTAGATACTCCGCAGTACTGAAGTCTTGGCCCAGTCGGTGATCACCAACTCCAGATATTTCAGTGTACCATTCGTGTAGACCTTCTACTCGGTCTTGCCGGACGGATCGTTGTCGCCGAAGAGGACGATCCAGTAGCCGATCGGAACGCGTACAGTATAGATACCGACCGCTGCGATCTCGGCGATGTCGCTTTCGTTGATGAACGTTGCGTCGAAATGCGACCGGAAAGCGTCCTTGCCGGCGATGGTCAATGACCATTGGTCATATACTCACTATGACCAACGTTAACAGCGCCTGTCCAAAAATCGACTGAGCTGGTCATTCAGTACTCAGCTACAAGTCACGAGCCGAAGTTTACACCTTTGCTGGTTGTCACTTCATAACGGATACTGTTCGACGATTCCGAGCCGGATATCGAAGATCGCGCGGATGACGTAGATTTGGAGCCTCGGGGCTGCACCATGCCCATTACTTGCAGTACACTTGATTTGTCTGAAGCGTCATTGCAAATCCTGCGATGAGGCAGGAGAGTGATAACAGCATGTTGAGGCCGATGCGGTTCTGGATGATGAAACAGAATGAGGAATGACCGATCGGATAGTCACGCCCCCCGTCCACACTGTGGTGGTGAAACTTGCTAGTCGCAAAATTAGTCGAAAATACAGTACTGTACATAATCTTTCAATTAAGCAAGGCCTCTGCTGAACAAATACGTCGAAGTTGCCTGAAGCAAGGTATTCTTAAACTACATGTAAGCCTACGAGGGTCTTGTAACTGTCCATTTTTCCTTAACCACCATCGGCTTTAAAGAAGAAAAATTGATATAATACTCGTACTATCTATTTTAAACTGAAAAATAACGATCATAATGCAGAGAGGTGTTCACGCTTAGCTCCGCGTCGCGCTGGGGAAGAAGATGGCGTTAAGCCGTTCATCACGGAGGACACTACGCAGTGACCACGCGTTGAAGCCCGACTCGTCGCCGTAGATCCGCCAGCTCCAGAAGGTAAAGCCCGCGCCGGCCTGGTACATGACATCCATCATCGCCTGGCAGAACTCGTAGTATCCCTCTTGGTTATCGGAGAATTTGCCAGCCGTGGCGAAGCTCCACTCGCCGATGAAGAGGCGATTGTGGTTCTCACGTGCGTTCCACTGGCTCACGCTGTTCTGGTAGTTGACCTTGACGGCCGTGTTGATTAGGTCGTAGTCGCTCGTGTCCTCGTAGCCCCAGACGAAGTATGGGTGCCACTCGACCCACACGTTCGAGTAAGTTGGCGCCTGCATAAAGTCCGTCATGACGTCGGGCGATTGCTTGTACAATAGCGGCGCCACGCTCAGCACGCAGTCGTTGCCCGTCTCGCGGATGGCTGCGTACGTCTGCTCGTAGTACGCGTACAGCTTGTCCTCGTCCGTCGATGCGTTGGGTTCGTTCAGCAGACCGATGCCCAGGAACGCGTCCTCATCCTTGTAGCGGTCAGCCAGGAACGTGGCCGTCGCTATCGTGTTAGCTACGTTCTCGTCGTACGCACTCCAGTGCGACTTGCCCGGGTCGCTAGGGGACGAGTGATCCGCTCCGTTCTGCGATCCTTTGGCGGCGTGCATGCTAATGAGCACGGCGACGTTGTGCTTCTTGGCCCAGTCTGTGATGAGGGCATCCAAGTACTTCAACGTGCCGTTCGCGTACTGCGTCCACGCAGCTTGACCACTTGGATCGTCGTTGTCGAAGCCTACGATCCAGTAGCCCACGGGGACGCGGACAGTGTTAAGACCAGCCGCAGCGATGTCGGCAATGTCGCTCTCGGTGATGAAAGTGTTGTGGTGGTTCTGCAAGTTGGAACGGACTGTGTCCGGGTTAACTGCCTTGGTGATGGCAGTGTACTCGCCCTTGCCGGCGTCGTCGTCTCCTACTCCTTGCCAGAAGTCAGCGGTGTTGGTCATCCAGTGTTCGGCCACCAGCCATCCTCCGAGATTCACCCCGACGCTGGATACGTCGCCGTTGCGGATGCTGTACTGGATGTGAGTCGAGTTCTGCGGCGTCGACGCTGAACCGGACAAACTCTGCTGCTGGGTCTCGACCTGGTCCGAGTTCACTTGGGTAGGAGTCGAAGTGCTCTGGTCGTGCTGGACGACGCCGCATCCAGGTGTCACTTGTGCCATTGTGGTGGTGCCCTCGTCTCCCCCGAGTGTCGAGAAGGTTCTGGCGTTTGTTGCGTTCATTGACAACGCGGCCATTGTGGTGACCAAGCAGGCAAGGCGACGGAGCATGGTGAAGAGGTTTGGGGTGCGCTTGAGCGGCCAAATTGAAGAGTGAGAAGTAGGTCTGTGCTGTTCGAACGCGCCATCAAGGCGAGAGCGGTGGGGTGCTATCTGTGTGACACTGGGAACGACAACCGCCACCAGACAAGTGTCTGGTGCCCGTTGTCGTTCCACCAGATCCACATGTGCACTTCCATTCAGCTGTTTCGCCAGTTTTCGTTCATACGACACATGCGATGAGTCATGAATCGAGACAGCAGATGGCGACTGACCAAGATGTCGGGGCGATCCAGTCTATTAAAATAATACTTCAAGTAGGACTTCGATAAATGAAAGCACAGGTGACTTGTGACAGAGCTCGACCTGTATGCCGTAGAGGATGCGAGGGAGAGAAGGAAGTCTGTTTAATTCACAAATTACAGTGTAGCTTCCTGATATTGCTTGGCTCAGGATGCTGTCAACATGACCAGAATTGACATCGAAATGCCCATCCACAGAACTGTAGTCTTGGTCCAAGACTCGTGCAATGAACGCTTTCTTCACGACTAGAGATATCATATGCCTGCAAACGTCAGCAACTGTTAAGGTTGACCAGAACAATGTCCCTTGTATCAGATCCTAGCTGGTGGATAGAACTTGACCGTTCAGAAGAGTACGATTCATGGACTTGTACCTTGACACCGTCGCAAATGTAAAAGCACGATACAGTTCGACCACTTAAAGGACAGATCCAAGACAACGTGCGTTTCTGGTTTATCGACGAGAAAGATAAATACAAATTATGTTCTAAAATATTTCAATTTTAATTTGCACTGGTCACCTTCCACATTCTCGCAAAGTTTTCATTGCGAGTCGGTCACACTGCGAGGCGAATTTACCTTTTGGATGCACTTGGCTGAAACCGAAGTGTCGATAGCGGGGTATCTTTCGCTAGCCCTTCCACGGTGACGCGCCAGTCTCTCGAAGCTATTAGTTTTTGCTGCGAACGTTTCCCCCATAGATCACTAACAGCTCAGCTTTACAGTGACTGCAATTGCTGCATCACTATAGCAAAGATTTCTTCACATGGCAGCAGTTCCTCATGCGTGTACGTCTGTTCCATCAGCGATTTGAGATTCTCCAGAGCATCCAACAGGTTCCGCTGGAATCGAAATCGAAAATATCAAAATAAAAACATGTAAGTGTCAATCTATGTCATCTAGCACAGTAAAGAAAGGTCTTTCCCCACCTGCACGGGTTTAAACAGGATCGTCTCAGTTGAGGCGTTGCGGAGGTACAGACGAATCGTCTGCAGGATTTCCGGTAGACTGTCACGCAGCTGATGCGAGACACTCGCGAGCACGTTGCCAACCTCACTCGGCGCTGTGAACGCACACTGCCGGAAGTCCAGCGCCGTGGCTTTCTGGGACTGCTGCACGTGCGCGACCTGCTTCATCAGCGCGAGCAACGGCTGAGCCAACTGCTGCAGCACAATCTCAATGAACGCCGTGCAGCTTCTCTTCAGCTCCTGCTCCAGCTCCTTCTTCACATCAGCCGTCGTCGTCTGGATCTGCGGAATTCCACGCGCAAAGAGCCCCACAAGCCCATTCGGACCCGAGAATCGGAACAGCGTCGACGCGTCCGCGAGCAGCTCATTCATGGCGTCTGCACTGCTGGTGAAGTCCAGCGCCTTGCTCCTCTGCGCGAACTGGATCTCGAACGGTGTGATCTGCTCGCGTAGTGTCAGTAGATGTTTGACTAGGAACAACGAGCCATGCAGACCACCCTGCGTCGCTGTGATGTCGGCCGACGCCATTTTCAACGACGCTGTGCAGATCTGGATGGCGTCCTGAGCTAACTCCTCGAAAATCTCCATCTTGACGAAGTGATATCCCTTCGACAGACACATCAGTGTGTGCTCTAGCGACGGATACCACGTCGCGTACAATGACGCACCGGCCTGCTCAGCTGCTACCAGTTTGGCTGGGTAGTCCAAGTCAGCAGGAGAAGGCGCGAAGCCTTTGATCTCGTCGCGAATGTACTTCTGCATGCACAGGATGAGTCGCTCCTGAGCGTCCTGAATCATACGATGCATCACTGGCTCTGCATAGCCCACCAGCGCTGCACGTGGGGTGATGGCAGCTTCAATCACTTCACTTCTCAGCACTTGGATGACTTCGCACAGAACTTCCAGGTCCTTCTGGGCGATAAATTGAGGTCGCACAGTGTTGTACAGCAATCCACTCAGCTGGAAGATGAGGCGTCTAGCAACAAGACATAAAAAAAAGTCAGCAGAACGTATACACTAAACCAGTGTCAGGTGTACACGTCTACGTACTCGAACGCGTTCTCGTTGTCTTCTCCACCTAGAGCGTCGTCGTCTCCGAGACTCGTGTCAACTCCAGAGAAATTGAAGAGCTCGTCGCTTGGATCGTGGCCAAAAAGCTTGAGGAAGAGTCGAAATTCGGCCTCGCACACCTTCAGTAACTGGGCACAGCTGGCACGCAGCACGTTGACGATATCGGACGTTTGAGACACCGCGTCCAGCCAGGCGCCAAGCACCGGGGACAACAACTGCACCCGCTGAGTGGCATAGGCGTCGGCTACTTCTCCCAGTACTCGCAGATTCTCGACGCTATTTTGAGCCGGTTGAGTGTTCAGACGCTCGAGTTGCTTCGCCACAGCAGCCAACGCTGGCGCCACGAGCTGAAAATTGACGTAGTAGGGCGAAGTTTCATCCAGTTGCGACACCAACGAGGTCGCCACCCCGCTCTGTTGTGCAGCTAGCGTCTCCTTCTGGACAGCCTCGTACACTGCGTCCTTCGCCGCCTCCAGTCCACTCAACGCATAGTCCTTCAAGCCCTGAAGTCCCCCCGCTGCCAGTGTCTTATAAGCTTCAATGAAACACGCCGAGTCCTTGTACTCTACATGTTGCGTGAGATAAGCCACACACGCGTCGATCTTCTCCAATGCCTGCTCAAAAGTCGGCGTCGTGGGGTCGATACCACGTCGGTGCTGGAAAACCTGCACCGCCTTGCCTGAATCCGTCGAAGCTGACGAAGTTCTAGGTCTAGAGGCTTTCTCCATGAGGACATGACCCGTAGATCCGCTAGAAGGAGAAGCGAACTTTACGCCGAAGCCTAATGCGTGGGCTACGTCATCTATAGCTGTAAAGTGAGGCATGGGGGCGGCAATGGCAGCCACTCTGGCGTCCAGGGCCTCCACCTGTTGCAGGACGTCCTCGAAGCTTCGATACAAAGCCTGGGTCTTGGCAGCTACTTGGACGTGACTTGCCTCCATCTCAGCTACTAGCGCTTGAGAAGCATGGGCGTGGACGTATAGAGAGTCCCATTGGGACATGCACTGGTCCACCTGAGTGGACAGGTGGATGAACGAAGGCTCCAGCTGGATGGAAGATTTATTTTTACGCGAACTCGAGCTCTGACGTTGCGCCACGAACTCCCGAAGCGTCTCGGACGCCTCTGGATGCCGCTGTGAGCGCAAAAGTGGCGCGTGCGTCTCGGCCTGAGTCTTGAGCTGCACTTGACGCTCCAGCGAGTGTAGAAGCGCGTCTTGTCTCACGGTGAGAGGCGTCTCCCGCACGCCCCGGGGCGACGCTGAAGGTGCCATCGTTGTCAAATTAGCAAAGCAGCCGGATTTACAATGTATACATACACGAATTTAGTTTCAGTAAGAATCACTTACTATTTTCACTTTCGGTATAGCAAATGCTATCGAGAGCGTTAAAGCTCCAGTTACCCGCGCTTGAACTCGATACGAATCTCGCAGACCACCGAAGGTTGCGGGGAAGGCACAGCAGTCCCTTTGATCGCTGAAATTGAAATTTTGATCGTCTCCGATTTGTTTTCATTGACCTTCTCGTAGCACCGGAACACCATTTCACCTTGACCGATCATTTTGTCCTTCCTGCAAATACATGTATACGTCCGCTTTAGCTCCTATCCAGGCACTAGCAAAAAAAGTATACAGTTAGTGACGTACCAGAAGCAAGCCGTCCACTGACGCGCCTGGTACACCGAAACCTTCAAGGTGCAGTCCGCTAGCATCACGACTGTGTCCGCCTTCAGTTCCACGACCGGTGACGTCCACAGCCGAGTTGCGTCCCTTCTCATCAAACTTTTATCGGTTTGACCGCTCTGAATCGTCTGTTTTTTGGAAGTGTACGCGAGCTGGAGAACGCGTAAAAATTAACTTAAAGTCCAGATTCGCACACCAAAACTGCGTCACCACAAATAAAGCGTGCGACCACATCACACTATGGAGACTACACATATAGAATGGATTACCTGTGCACGCCGCTTTTTTCTGATTCCTCGCACAGACAGGGGTTGGGATGGTGATTTACAGCCAACCATCGCCGCACTTCAGAATCGAGAAAGGAGATCACCCAGCAAAGACTCGGCCGGCCGACGCGACTTGCAATGCCGAAGCGTATCGCCTGGCAGGACGTGGCGCTCAACGCTACCGGTATCGAAGCTGACAGAGTGCTGACTGCCTTTAAGACCTACGAGGTCTCGAAGAGCAATTTGTACGCATGTACAGTTTGCCTCGACGATGCCCCACACAAGATGAGGTACAGGATGCTTCAGTGCTCGTCAACAGCGTGCAAGGCGGCCGTTTCCTCTGGTGTACACGCTTGTTCTTGGCGCGGCAAAACCCTCTCTTGCCAGGTTAGCGACGCAGTGTCAATATTCGAGGTGGGGGAGCACGCCACAGCGGTAAACTCCCCCAAGAAGAAGAAACTGACGGAGCTGCAGAAGATATACTGCCGTGAGCTCACGGCACAACATCTGCGGCCTGTCCGTATACGCAATGCGATGGCACGGAAGTTTGGAGCGGTGCTTCAGGACTTGCCAAGCTTGGGCACCGTCCAGAACTTCGTCAACTACTACTCCAGGAAGAACTTGTCGCGGAATGACATAGTGGACGATTTGAGGACCTGGATCCACGCGAGGGCGTACACCGGACGAGAGGCCATGTCCCAGACCTTCACATTCGCCTGGAATATGGATGAGCAAGGCAAGCCAGTGGTCGGAAACGGATCGGAAGAACGGCCGTTCGTCATTGGTTTAACGACCAAGACCCTAATGCTTCGGCTAATGCGGCCGCCGGACAACTACATGTGGTGTAGTGATTTCTCCGTAGTTGCGGATTATCACCCGTCGACAAAGACGTGACACCGCCCAAGTTGTTAAAGCGACGAACCCTCGGTCAGGTGATGTACGGAGACGCCAAGGTGCAAGGGACTCGACGGCGTCACCTCCGAGTTTTCAACAAGTATCGGATACGGTCATATGTCACTGAATCCAGGCTGTCCTTATTATTAATAATGGACTGGCCGGATTCGCATTCAGCGGACCATCTACGGTACGAACCCTCAGTGGCGGTTGGGATGAGTTCGCGGAATACTCAGCGACCTTTGGAAGACACGTTAACCGTCTGGGACAGGGCGCGGACCGTTAAAGATGCTCATGCGACAGTGCAGACGACGCTTGGCATGCAAGAAGATCCATAACGGATCATTGTTCACTTGATATTTGTATACTTGATTAGGACTTCTTATTAGGAATAGACCCGAAAGGGTAAGCTTAAATACAGAACAGAATTTCCACTCAAGCACACAGAGCGACGTCCGGCTTCAAGGTAAGCGTCAGGTCAAGCTTGTTTGAGTGTGTTATGCCTGTCGGTGAACTCGAAGCTCTGTAGCGAGGGTTCATCCGGCAAGGCCAAGAGACTTTGTGTATTGGCCGATTATTATCGGGAGGTTTTACGTGACGGCTTATTGTTGCCTATTTGCACGACTGGGAGTGCTTGAATTGCCTCCCTTTTATTTATTCCAGCCGAATGTTGAACACTCGGTGATCTCGTAAAAGGCTTACCCGTGCCTGGTACCCTTCCGCTGTTGGGACCACGAGGATTCAAAACACCTGCTAGCTTTGCTCGTGCTAGTAGCGTGTTCTTATTTTACTGGTTGGCCTATATAAGTAGTTTCCAAGGTTTAGTTTGTCCCGGTGCAAGGGCAGAACTGGGGTCTTCAGGTCCGCCCGAACGATCGTTTACTATCCTAGTAGACGTATTGTTGTGGGAACATCCTAACAACATCTGTAGCTAGAGTTCACGTGGGATTTCCAACACCACAACTGGTGCCGCGACCCGGGAACAGATTGTGACCATTGTGAACTGTTTGTATGGCCTTCCAGTTTACGAGCTACCAAGAGAAGAAGAACAAGAAAAAGACAAGAAATATGGCGAAAGGACAACCGACGGTACCAGTTACGCCTGCCAAGTCTGGCGGGGCTCGCAACGAGAGTTCAAGCCCGGCTGCGCGCTTTGCAGCCGCCACCGAGCTTTCAGTGAGCTTCGACGACGAAGCGGACATCGGTCCTGACGCCCACGATTATGAAAATTACGAAGACAAGACGCCGGCTCCAGAGCCAGGCGCAGCGACGCCGGAGACGGCCACGCTATCATCGGGGCTGAGCGGGGCGACCAGGTCCCTTTCGAGGAACCTCGCCGACGAGCTCGATGATGTTGCGGGACCAGAACCAGCCTACGATGATTATGACGATGGGACCGAGGGTTCTAAACCTTCGGTGGCAAGTGCAAAGCATTCAGCACTGCTGAAGGCACCTCGCCCACCTATTAACGGTGATACACCAGCCGCCAAGCGCGTTTTCGACCGCGTACAAGCGCTGATGCAGAATGATGAGTGGATGCAGCTGTTCAAGCCCATCCCCAAGATAAAAGCCGACTGGCCTGCGCTTGCGCAGGAACTTCAATACCCAGTCAACTCGGTTTCGACTAGCCAAGTTGCCGAGGATTCAGTTTCGCTACTGTTGTCGCTGGGGTTCGAGAACGAGACGTACCCATCGACGATGTCGCTCCAGGATTGGAGTCCACATGAAGCCGGAGCTGCTCTCCAGAAATGAAAGAAGAAGCTTCGGAAGGCGTTTGGCGCCGTTGGCATCAATGCCGAAAAGCAACCTGTGAGTCGACCGATGATTCAAGATGAAGATCCGTCCAAGATTCCATTGCCGCCGACGCCCCAACGACTCGTTCGTACTCCTCCGACCAAGCGTGGGGCTGAGCGTGGTGCCTTTGGCACTACCGAAGCTTCACCGTACTTTCAAGACTCGCACATGGTTACGCCACGTTCGGAGAGCCGTATGCAACGTATTTACGCAAGTAACGAGGGTTCGTTCCGTCGCCGAGGCGGTGCGCGAGCTCCCAAAGGTGGTGCCGGACGTCGTCAAGTCGACAGCGATGGTTCGTCCAGTGACGATGACATTTTGGTGCGTACATTCGACGAGGAAGATCCTCAACTCGAGTTGATGCGTCAGATGAATGAGCTAGCGACGCTGAACGACGTGGACCCAACACCGAGGATTGAAATGGCCTCGCACCGACCGCTGGATCGCATCACGCCGTTCTCAGGCTCTCGCAACAAGAGCGAGAACTGTATGCAGTGGCTCCGTGGGCTCGTCTATGAAATGACTGGAACCCACACAGGCCGATAAATGGTGCATTCCATTTGAGCTAAGTCTCCGGGACGGAGCCATTCATTGGTTCCGTCAACTTCCGAAGAAGACGAAGCGCAAGTGGAAGCTGCTGAGCGACGCGTTCATCCGCTACTACTGCTCGCAGTTCACGCAGACGGCACTGTCGCGTTACTACTCCGCCAAGCGGGAACGTAATGAACATCTGTGCGACTACATAAACAGGCTGAATGGCTATGCTCGGACCGCCCGTCTACACTTCGAGAAGAGTGGTCGCGACGCGAAAGAACACGTACAGCAGTTCCTGGCAACATGCGATGATGACAAGCTGGCGGAGAGTCTCTACCACGCTCGAGTCGCCGACATTCACGAGCTCGAAGAGATCATCGAAGATGTTCTCAAGGGCAAGGAGAGGATGGCCAAGCGTGACAGTGAGTACCGATACTCCAAGAGTCGTGATACGCGACGCGACGATGGATTCGCCCGCAACAACCGGCGTGATGACCGCCGTCGCGATGACAACCGAAACAAACCAAGAGTGACGCTCATTGAAGCCACGGTGGATGACCTACTAGCTGAATTAGAAGGTCGTGAAGCTGCTCAGGGAGGCACCGAGTATTCAAACGAAGATCCGATCGCTTACAACGATGTCCAAGACGAGTACAACGACTTTCAGCCCGATAATACGGATGGTGATTTCTCATTGGATGAAAACGATCGATACCTCGCCGCTGCTAACGAAAATGAACGTCGTGCAGCTGCTGAAGGCACCTACGCACGTTCAGACAACCGTCAACCGCGTGGAAACGTGCCTGATCGCGAGAATGGCTTCAATCAAGATCGCCGAAGTAGTGACCGTGGGTTCAATCAGGACCAACGCGGTCGACGTGACTTCAACCGCGACAACCGACGCCCACAGTACGGACCATGCGCGGTGTGCGGTGGCATGAGTCACTCCGCCCACTACTGTAACAAGCGATGCAAGTTCTGCAAGCAGCTCCACGATGCTGGACAATGCGAACTTTTCCGCAACTTCTAAGACTTTGCCAAATTCGTGCGCACTAAAGGCACGAAGGAGGAACTCCCGCCAGAGCTCAAGGCCGTCGTTCAAGAACGTCATTTAAACTAGGCAGCCCGCCAACTACAACTGGGTTGGTCCCTATCGGGCTGCCACAGTTAACCGAGCCTTCAATGGAAGCAGAGTGTATCTTTGCTTTCATGGGGCAGAGTGAATGGCCTGATAATTACGTAACAAGTGTGAACGCGACGAAAAATGAAAAGGAGAGGAGTAGAATCCTCGGTGGAGGTGTTGGAGAGAGAGTGGAGTGTGCCGATGCTGATGAGGACACCAGCGAGGGTTCGTTCGGCTTGGTTTCGAGTGCAGCGCGAGACGAGCCCAAGGGTCACTCCAAGATGATGAAGTTGAACCCTGGCGAGAGACAGGCATGGTGGTCGGCCAAGAAATTCGACCGACGGATCAGAATGAGAGCTCTGGTGCAAGGCGCTGTGAACGACCAGCGAACGAGGATCCTCCTCGACACAGGAGCGAACGTTAGTGTGATCACTGACGTCTTTGCCAAGAAGTTGCGACTCCGAGATGTACCTGATCACGGACGCCGCATTGACATTCAAGGAATCAACGAAGGCAAGGTGTCTACGACGCGACGAGCGTGCGTCAAGATTACGCTCGGATGGGAGATGGTGTACGAGTTTGAGATGTGGGTAATGGCGCATAGTGCAGGCGTCGACGTGGTACTCGGGACCGACTTTATGATCCCAGCTGGGATCCGGTTGGACCTGTTCCACGGCGCGGCGCAATTACCGCACGAAGTCCAAATCCCGCTGATAAAGACCAAGAACATGATCGACAGCGAAGAATACGGCTCCCATGTTAACGCCGGGCCACCCGAGCGGTTGGACATTCAAGAGCACGAGTGGCGAGAATATCGACTAGCGAAGCGTCAAGTCGGGCTGGAAGAACACGTACTGTGGGTTCGTCGAACGATTAAGCTAATCCCGTCAGTGACGAGGTTTCGACGTGGACGGCCTCAGAGCATTCGATTGACCAACGTGTCTGATCGAACTGTGTACCTACCAGCACACGACTCGATCGCGATGTGGATTCCAGATGGGGATTTGCCACGAGGTGACGGCTATGTGCGTCTGGAGTCCAAGAAGTACCAAGACTGGCAAGTGTTGGCCTACGAAGGTTGTAGAGACCGCGAGCTCTTTCAGCGTGAATGCGAAATCTACGAACAATGGCTTGCAACTCAGCCTTCAGCAGTTGATCGACCATACTACCCAGAACCCGGTGGGATGCTAGCACGACCTCTAGAAGACTCGCTAGTGGATTCTAGTGAACGTCTGACATGTGCAGAGCGCTGGGCACTGATCCTGGAAGAACGTGAACGAGTGGAAGCCTGTCTGGCGTCTGGGGTGACAGCCGGGGATTCGGCCGACGGTCAGCCTTCCGCAGAACCTTTGGACACGTACACGACAACCCATGGCGGAGGCAATAACGCGAACGAAGCCTCGGTAGTGCGTACACACGAACTACTGAGGCCGGTAAACGTGGTACATACGCCAACGAGTGTTAGTGTCCAGTCAGGGGTGACCACGGAAGCGAGAAGCAACGGCACTGGATTGAATGGAGTCACCCGTTTTGACGAAGCTGTCCTGGCCTTGTGTGTCACCAAATCTGCGAACGAGCCATCGGTGGTTGATCCAGAGGATAAAGGCATCGCGCAGAAGGTGTTGAGTAAGGCACCGAGTATTCATTGCAAGATTGGTGCGAACTCCGAAATGTCAAGACAGCGGCAGAACGAGGAGCGGAACAAAAGTCAACAACCCAATATGTCGGCGGCCCACGCATTCAATATTGCGAACGACGACTCGGCAGATAGCCCAGAAATGGGAAACCAGGATGGGAAGGAGATGGACCAACTACCGAATGTTGAAATCAAAGCGGATGCCAATGTTGAGTCAAGGGAAGAATCCGTAGCGGCGTTGGACGGAACATACATCTCGGTTGCTCGAGTGTTAACAACCGAGGGAAATGAAGCAACGGAGGATACGAGAAATGATTTCTACGAACACCCAGCTAACAACATTGGCTTGGACGACTACGCGAAGGAGCTGGCATTCCTGCCGGACCTGACCGAAGAGATCAACACGACAATTGACTACACTGCGCCTAATGTTGCTGATCCTGAGATGTCGACTGAACGCCGAGAACGTTTAGTCGCGACTCTAAAGAACCACGAGCACATCCTGATTGCTAGTGGTAACGCACTGCCGCCGCCAGCCTACGGAGCGGTATGCGATATCGACACACAGGGGCACGCCCCAATTAAACAGCGTGCCCGCCGCGTGCCGCTGCGTTTTCTCGGCAAGCTGTACGAGCTGCTGCGCTTTGTTGCGAGCAAGACTGATCGTCTTTTTAGATAGCCCATGGGCATCGCTGATCGTGATTGTGATGAAAAAGAACGGGCTGGACATCCGGCTCTGCATTGATTACAAGATGGTGAATGCTATCACCGCGATCATGGAGTATGCAATGCCGCTAGTCGACGACCTGTTAACAGATCTCGAGCGCTACCTATGGTTCTGCTCGCTGGATGCAGCAAGCGGCTTCTGGGCGGTCATGATGACCTTGCGAGCGCGTAAAGTGTCAGCGTCTGTCTGCGCACTAGGACATTTTGAGTGGTTACGCATGACCTTTGGGTTAAAGAACGCGCCGATGATCTACCAGCGTATGATTGACAACGCACTCTGGGGGTTCGTTCAACCTAAAGGAGGTTGGTTTGAATACTCGGAGAGGATGCGTTTAGCTGAAGAACAGGCCAAGGAACGTCGTGGACCAAGCGCCGAGGGTTCGTTTCAAACGAAGTTCGCGGCAGACCGCGAAGCACCGGTAGAGACCGACCCTGTACTACAACTCGTCAACAGCCCCGTCGCTGACATGTTTACGAACGGGGAATTAGACGAATCATCGCTGGTACCTGTATTTGGTCGACGGTCGTTTGTGGATGACATTTGCTTCGGTGGCGAGGATTTCGACAGCTGCCTGGCGACGCTGGACCGATTGCTGGCAAGATTTGCACAGTGTCGGATCAGCATTAGCTTCACCAAGAGCATCTTCTGCCAACCCAAGGTGGACTTTCTGTCGCATAAAATTTCGCCAGAAGGTATCAGAGCTGACCCCAAGAAGCTTGCGGCTATCACCGAGCTTTCGTTTCCAACGAGTAAGAAGGGCATGCAGTCGTTTCTTGGAGCGGTTAATTACTACAGCCGCTTCATTCAAGACTTCGCGGTCTACGGTGCGGCGCTGTACCAGCTCAAGGATGAAGACTTTGTCGTTGAAGGTGGCCTTTCTGTGGCACGTCATTCCTTCGAAAGATTGAAGACGAGTGTTTCACATTCACCCATCCTCAGGCACTTCGATCGGTCGAGAGAAGTTCACGTCATGCTCTTTGCGAATGAATGGGCGTTGAGCACTACGCTAATGCAAGAACATGAAGGCAAGTTACACCCCGTACGGTTCCTCGGTCGGGTGCTTAAGGAAGCCGAGATGAACTGCCATCCAGCTGAGAAGGAAGTTTTGGCGTTACTTCTGCTGTTGAAGATCTGTTACGTCCAGCTGGCAGGAAAGACGCTACATGTCTATACACGATTCTCGACGTTAGAGTGGGTGCATAAGTCGAAGTCTCTCTTCGGACGCGCGGTCCAGTTAGCAGTGCTGCTATCGCAGTGGCACCTTAAGGTGCAGCGCGTGAAGAAGAAGGATGTCGCCTTTGCGCAGCTACTGCAGTCAAGCATCACGAGCTTCGTTGACCTGGAAGACTCGCTCGCGCCGGTGGCGCCTCCAAACAAGGGTTCCCCGACTGGGCAGACCAAAATGAAGCCAAGTCTGGTCCTTTCCATGATAGATTCAGCAGCAGCTAGTAATGCATCCGCATCATACGGGTCAGCACCAGACTTGGCTTCATCTTGGTCTACCTCAAGATCACGAGGTGGCGACATGGCAGCAGGAGGCAAGGCGACAACAAGCATGACTGCAGGAGGCGATGCTACGTCAGTCGAAGCCAAAGGAAGCGGTTCTGCTGCAGAAGGTGACAGCGCAGCTGAGAAGCGGCGAAAGATGCAGGCGACACCGAGGCACCACTTGAAGCTACTGGTTCAGAGACGGTTGCTCCACTGGAACCCCTATGTGCTTCAGCAAGTGCCTCCTAACGCCGCCGAAGAAGGGCCGCTTGACGTTCGTGAAACTCAGCGCCGCGTCGGCTCGTGGGGGCCGTGCCAAGATTCTCGGCTGCAAAATGGAGTGGATTGAACGGGACGTATCCTAGATCCGCTTCGAAAGCCACCATCTTGATACTGCTGTTCACCGTCGAATTCACCGCGAGCTCCGCATTGGCGAGATGGATGTCCCAGTCGTCTTAAACAGGTCCAACGTAGCACCACAAGTACTCCTCGAGTGTTCTATTCATCCGCTCTGTCTGACCATCGCCTGGATCTTGATGAGCTACCGTCATGTTGAGGGTTGTCCCAATTGACTTAAACACGTGTTGCCAGAACGTCGACACGAACTTCCTGTCTCGGTCCGACACAATGCTCGTTGGCATCCCATGAAATATTTCCATACGTGTTCGATGAAGAGACGGGCAACACCTTCGACGTCTACCTTCCTCGTGGTCGGGCCAAAATGGCATCGCTTTGTCAGTCGGTCAACGACCACCCAGATGGAAATTACTTCACGCTTTGTTCGTGGCAAGTCCGTGATGAAGTCCATTGACATCGATACCCATCGGTCGTCCGGTACTCGCAGTGCCTCTAGCAGTCCCGGCGGCTTCGCTAGCCGCAATTTGTTTCTTCGACAAGGCTCACAGTCAGCGATGAACGAGTGAATTGACATCAACGTCCTGGTGCAGTACCACCGCTTTGTGAGTGTCAAGTACGCCCGCTCTGCACCTGGATTACTGCCGTAGTTGGCATCATGACACTCACAGTTGACCGCCTGCCGCAACTTCAGATCGTTGGGCATAACGATAACTGGTACATCGTCGGATGAAGTCTGGTACCATAGCAAGTCATTGCTTTCTGTAAAGCAGCGATAATGTTTCATCTGGTGCTGCTTGGTTTTCGAGTGCGGGCTGTTTGTACGCCGTGAATATCGCTTGGGCTTCTCGATCTCGGTTGTACGCCATGGTGATCAACTCGCTGTCTGCGGTCACTTCGCTGACCACCAAACGAAAGGATGTATTGTCGAAGCTGGTCACGCTCAAGTCGTGAAAGAACTTCGTCTCCGGTTGCAAGTCCGCACCTCGGCTAAGCGCGTCTGCAATTCCGTTCATCGCACATGGAGGGTATGAGAACGCTGGTTGGTACTCCGCGAGGATATCATACCAGCGCGCGAGGCGTCGATTCGATCTTCTGTGTAAAGAGACCTTCAAGACTTTTGTGATCCGTTTCGACGATTGGTGAATTTCCATGCAGTAGATCCGGAAAACGGCCAGCGCATGAATAACAGCAAGAAGCTCTTGCTGCTGCGTCAAAAAGTTAAATTCCGCGGATTTCATATCTCCTGTTGGTGTAAGGAATAGGTCGCTCAACACCGTCAGCTACTTGGAGCAGGAATCCTCCGACAGCAAACTTGCTAGCGTCCGTCCTCAAACGCATCAGTTGATTGAAGTCGGTCAAGTACAGCACGGGAGGATTGCACAGCCGCCGCTTCAGTTCCTTGAAGTTCTTCGACTGCTTTTCGTCACAGTGAATCTTTGCATTACGCTTGATCTTCTTCTCGAATAGATTGAACATGGTCGCTGTAAGCTTCGCCTAGTCTGGGAAGAGCCGTTGAGCGTATATAGCTAAGCCGAGGAAACGGTAGGGCTCCTCTTGCGCTCTTGGAATTGGCCAGTCCTTGATGGTCTGCACCTTGCCGGAATCCTTTCGGACTTCTTTTCGTCCAACGAAGTCTCCAAGACACGGTATCTCATCGGCACAGAACACATATTTGGAGAGCTTTACGTAGCGTTTGTTGTCTTGCAAGATATCCAAAGATTTACGAAGGGCTTCCAAGTGATGTTCAATCTTCGGGGACTTCGGGAAGATGTAGATGTCCGCATTCGTGTTCTCAAGCTCGCGGAACCGTTTTGACGTCAGCCGATGCATCGTTGTCGGAGCGTTTCAGACACTCGTGGGCAGTACGAGGTATTCCCAGAGTCCGTTGGGCGCCTGAAGCGCTGTGAACTTGATGTCTTCTGCGCGCATACGAAAACGCTGACCTTAGGTCCATCGTCGAGAGTCAGTATCCTCCCGCCATGCGTCCAAGATATCTTCTTTCCTCATCATCGGTATACTTTGCCGTATCGTATTGGAGTTCAAGTACCGATAGTCGTGAACGATTCGCCATCCAACTGGTTTTCGGATGCAGAATGTTGAGGCAGCGCGCGAGCTGATGCTAGGACGGGTTGGCTTCTTCTTTACCATTTCCTCGACCCAGTACACGATCTTGCGTTGCCGCTCGGGAGACTGGCGCCACTGTTGCCGATACATCGCAAGATTAGGATCTTTCGCGTCAATCCTATGCTCGATTTCACGTTTTACCGGGAGGCCTTCAGGGAGTTCGGGTCGGAGCACTGTCTCCTTGTACTCCGTCAGCAACGCCAAGGCAAGGTTCGCCCAGAAACTTTCCCAGTCCGTCTCCAGGTAACGCTGAGCTTTTGCCGTTCCGACATTGTCGGGTTGGTCGCGTCGCTGTATAGATTTCGCGACGTTTTTGATTGTTTCGTTTGTCAGAACCAACATGAAGTCTGGTTCCTCGATCGACTTGGTCTTGATTCTCAGAAGTTTCCTCAGTTTATTTCGTGTGATAAACTTGGTGTGCGCACCAGCTTCATCCGTGATTCCCATCGTGAACACCTTTTCCACGACGGACTCTCTTCCCCTGGTATCGCTGCTCACAGCAGCAGTGCCGTCGCGTCTTGCCGCATTCATCTCGTCTTCGCCTGCTGAACTCTTACCAGTTGACGAGCCTACCGCTCGCAATCAACTCGTGGGGTCTCGATCTGCTCTACGTCATAAACGGGGTTGACCGCGGACTTCACATCCGTTTCCAGTGCGGCACCTCGACAGGAATCGGGTCTGTTCGCCCCGATAGATCACCGAAGCCCGGAGGCAATCACCGGTCCCCCTTCCTCGATCAGTTCACAGGTTTCACCCGCGTGTTCCCAGCGGAAAGTCTTCACTCTTGTTCCTTCGCCTCGTCGACTTCTCCAGTCGATATGTGGTTGCATGTCCTCGAAGAATGGTATTCCGAAGATGCAGTCAAATTCTTCAGGTACCGTGTAGACAACCTCGACGCATTCATACACATCGTCTAATCCAGATACAACGATGCTTAGCGATAACACCTCTAGCTGGGTCTCCACGGTCTGGCTATCTCCTAGATTGTAATGCAGCTCCAATTACATAAGTAGGTAGATATTTCTTTAGTTATTACATAAGTAAGTAAAGTGGCACACGGGTAGCGTGTGCCAAGGTGTCATCATCGGATTGGTTGGTAGTGAGGAGCCAGACTCACTTATTGACCAATCAGGTATATACATGTGTTTGAGTGGTTCACACGAGGCCAGGGGTGGCCGCCCTGGTCCTAACAAAATCAGAGTTGAATTTGACACAAACCTAAGACTTGGTTTTATTATTGCGAGCTTCCTCCACACTATAGTGTAAGCTAGCAACGGTAACGCTTACCCCGTTACACTTGGTAGCACTTAGAAGTCCTTCCAACGACCAAGTCTACGATGAGCCAAGTCCAGATCTCCGGGGCGACCCTGGAGCATGCTGCATTCCCCCATCTCACTCACGTGGAGTAGGAAGCGCTTCACCGCCTCGTGGCCGTGTCCGGAGATGCCGTTGTCGCATCGCTGCCGAGCTCAGCGACGCCCGACGAGCAACGTCTTGCAGCACAAGGGCTCATGGAACGCGAGCTCGCCGATGCCAATCGGCGGGTGTCAACTCCCTCGCGTCCATCCCAGAATGACGTCGTCAAGATGAAGACGTCTACGTATTCTAGCGCCGGTGAAAACCGGCTGCCGCTAAACCGGTGGTTCCGCGAGATCGACATTGCGATCGCCTCGCGACGCATCGAGGCGTCATCCACCAAGGTGAACTTCCTCCTCTCCCGGTTATCCGGGAATACCAAAGAATGACCCCTTGGGAAGCCGGCTGTCGACCCCGAGGCTTTCTTATCTCTGGAATCTCTCCATAGCGACTTGCGCCTCGCGTTCGAGCCCCTGCAAGATGAGTCTCGTGTTCGCGCAGAGTTCTTCGCTCTTCGGCAAGGGAAGATGTCCATGCGTGATTACGTCCAGAAGACGCGACATCTGGCGTCATGCATCGTGACCAAGCCAATCGACATGGCCTCGCCAGTCCACATATTCGTGTTCGGCATGCGCGAGGGTATAACCCGTTACTGCATCACCAGAGCTGATCCCTCCTCTCTCGCACTCGCGATTCGCGAGGATTACATGATCACTGCTTCGTACGCTGCAGACATACCTGCGGAAGCCCGAGAGTCTACCATCGAGCCCATGGCGATCGACGCCATCAACGCGTCGAGCGATCGAGGTCGCGGGTCCTACCGCGGTAGCGGTGGTCGAAACAATCGCTCCCTTATTTGCTTCCGCTGTGGAAAGAAAGGTCACCGCGCAGCGGAGTGTCGCGCGCCAGCTCCCGTCGTCGCTCACGCCGATGCGGAACATTCCTCGGTCGCTCATTCCAGGACCAGTAGGTCTACTGGCTTTCACGAAGGACCGGGCCCTCTGGTGACAGCTCAACCTTCGAGCCCTCCCGTGCTCCAAGCACACACCAATGCCACCACTACACCGGGCGACTCGAGACTGATCATCGTCAGCCTCCACGTCACCGGTGCCCGGCGACAATGCGCGCGCTCCTTTACTCAGGAGCGACCGACAACTTCTTTCGCGCGTCGTGCTTGTCGGTACTACCCAAGAACGTCCGCGTCCGGAATGATCCGGGCGAGATTCAAGTCAAACTCGTACCGTTGCTCTGCGTGACGTGTCCTTGTCGTACACGTTCGACGGCTTCCGTAGCAAGGACGACTTCTTGGTGATCGAGATGAACTATGCGTTTGACTGCATCCTGGGAATTCCTTGGCTTGCGCGATATCAGCCAGAGATTGACTGGCTGGCCCAATTGGTCAAGCGTCGACGTGGATTCGACGTGAGCGAGGTCTACACACTTCTTGGTGGCGCCAAGAGACTGGCGCCACGTCACAGTCGTGGACAAAACAGCAACGACGCAGGCAGTGCACAGAGCGAGCGATGGCCCTCTCTGCATGGCTTGTGCTACGTTGTTGAACGAAGAGCCCTCGCGCTTTCGCGAGGTAGATGATGAAGTGGTCGAGCAGGCTCCCACAGTACAAGACAATGGTTGAGCAGAGGCTCCCACACAACGAGACGGCGGTAGAGCAGAGGTTCACGCCGAACGATTCGGCGGTCGAGCAGATTGGGCTCCCGTCAAACGATGCTGCGGCTGAGCAGGGGCTCCCGCGTGTTCCCGGCCCGGTCAAATACGGTCTTCCGCGCCTAGAGCAAGGTGATGCATCGTCAAGTAGCAGTGAGTCAGACTCGAGCGTAAGCTCGAGGAAGCCAAAGAAGAAGTCGAAGAGACGAAGCCTGAAACCTAGTCGAGACTCCACGACCAGCGATAGCCCGCCGATGGAATCGGTCAGCGCGCTCGAGTACGTGGCAGGAGGCCCGAATCGGGCAATCACTATCACAGTCGCGAATCCGCCGCGCGAAGCGGCGGCGATCACACGCCTTCCAGGCTTGTCCTGGAAGAACTTCCTTCGGGACCCTAAAGCTGGAGACGTCGAGCAAGTATGCTTGGTCACCGAGGCAGTCTCGGTGGATGAGTCAGCAAATGCAGTCGCCACGGACAGTGAACGTTCACGTCCGCTAGGTGC